TTTGGGGATAATCCTCCGAATGCATCATTTCGGGAATCCATTATGAATTTATGATAAAATAATAAATAATTAAATAATAATATGAATAAGAGATGATATTGAAAAATAGAATAATATAAATAAATAAATAATAATATGAATAAATTATAAATATAAATATAAATTAAATGAGAATTTGATTGAAGATTTGGAGTAGAGAGTAGAGAGATTGAGAGATTGAGCGGTGTGGAAAAAATGAGAAATTTAGGGGATATTTACAGTGTAGCATGGGGGTGGGGGTGGGGGTGGGGTGTTGTTGTGGGCGGTAGAAATTAAAAAAAAATAAACCTAGAAATTAAAAAAAATAAACCTTTCCCCCATGACCGTTGGCAGCCAGCCAACGGTTATTAAATGGCATGCAAACTTTTTTTTCCCTTAAATTTTGTAAAATTTAATTTTAACCCATACAATTTCTGTTTATTTAAAAATTTATAAGAGGTTTTATGTAATTGTCCAAGGGGCTAAAATAAAAAAACCAAAAGGGTTTGGGCCCGGGCCTTAGAGGAGGGCTCGATCCCTCCTCCTAGACCAGGCCTGCTAAGACTGGTCCTCTCAACGATCGGTCCAAAAACCCGGTCCCAAATGCCCAGCTCTATGTAACATGATCCAACATTAAAATTTTCAAAATAAGTTGGAATAAGATTTTTTTTTTTTTTAAAACAAAGGAGCATTTACTAACTTAGGTGAAGAGAGTTATAGACGGCAGGTAGTATATAAATAATTTCTATAATTATGAAGAGAGAGAGAGGGGTTTGGTTTCGTCTGCTTTTGATTGTACACAGTACCCAACTCTTTCTCTCTCTACCTTTTCGATTGAAAAACACCTCTCTCCTTCTCTCTCTTATGAGTTGTTCTTATTGTACTAAGTTGTTGTTTAGACCATCTCCAACCACAAACACCAAATTGGTACAAGTTTCACACCAAATTGGTGTAATTTTTGATGTATTTCACTATTGCATCTCCAACCTATTGCACTAACTATTACTCCAAAAAGAATATTTCTTAAAATATTCTCTTTCTTTTTCTTTTTATTAATAATAAACAATTAATCTATTTCACTAATTATTTGTGTATATATTAATTAAATATTGGGAATGATATTTTTATTAAATAATAATTACTTTGAAAATTATACTAATTTAATAAAATTAAAAATTTATTTAATCAAATAAACATTACATTTAATATTAAAAAACATTAAATCTAATATAAAATGCCACCAAAAAAAAAAAAAAAAAAAAGACAAAATTGGCTTTGGTAGAATGTCGAGAAGATAACAAAATTTTATTCAAGGATTTGAATTCCATAACCGATCCGAGCCTGCTTGAGTTTTTTCAAAATGAGCAATCAAGAATTATGCAAAAAAGAGCTCAACAACAAGGTCAATGATCTCAAAATAGCTCTAGTTCTTTTCAATATTTTGATGATTTTATTGGATTTGGAACTAATCTACTGGAATACTAAATTGTTATTTTAGTTTATGTTGTATTTTCTTTTAATTTTAGTGTTTTTAAATTAGTGTTAATTTTTATTTTGAGTTATTGTAGTTTAATATTTGCATTGAATAAAGTTTTGTTTTTAATTTTTCATCATTTTTTGAATTATATAATTATTATGAATTTATTATTATAAATAATAATCAAATTAACAAAAATAAGAAAATCAAATATATTTTATAGTAGATGAATAGTGTCACACCAAATTGGTGTGGATGAACAATGTTGCACCAAATTTGGTGTGACACTGTTCACATACACCAATTTGGTCTAGTTTTTAGTGTTGATTAGAACACATTTTCCATACCACATCAAAATGGCATTGGGTTGGAGATGCCTTTACCATTTCTATATCTTCTGTTCGGATTATTTTAGAATTAGGATAAGTGTGTTAAGTCTTTTATTATTATCTTTTATAATTATATTATTATTTTATTAGGATAAAATTAGGATTATCTTATTATCTCTTTATAATTAGAGTCATTTTGGGACTTATTATCCCTTTATAGGGTCCTTTTGGGAGTCAATAGAGTCAAGTGTAAGGCTATATAATAGCCTAAATCTAGATTGTGGGAATGAATAAAGAATTTTGGTCAACTAATATTTCTATCTCTTGTTTTTGGAGGTCTCTGCTCCTCATATAAACAGATCTTATCCCAAACCCTATCATTGGTGCTCTCGTTCCCTAGTTATGGCTGAAGGCACTCGCTTGCGTCTTTTGGATGAGCAACTTGCTAAAATTATGGCTCTATAATCTACCCAGGCAGAGACTCTCACTTCTTTAACAGAGAAATTGGAAGTTTTGACAGTTGGTTTTCAAGATGTTACTTTGTAGATTTCAACTATAAACAACAAGTTCGATCAAACCTGCCAGCAAAACCAACAACCAAACCAACATTCCGGTGAATCATCTTCAGATTTGACTGGGCGAGGTGGATCAACTTTCGGGAGTTTTTTTCCCAAGTCTTTCCGTTTAGAAGTCCCTCGTTTTGATGGCACGAATCCGCGTGGTTGGAGGTTTAAAGCCTAGCAATTCTTTGATTACCGTAATATCTCTACTGAACAACGATTGACGATCTCTTCCTTCCACATGAATGGGCCAGCTCTCTCCTAGTATCGCTAGATGCATTCCAATGGACAGATCTGTTCTTGGCATTCTTTCCTACAGGATTTAAATGTTCGTTTTGGGCCTTCAGAATTTGTGGATTACCAAGGGCAATTGGCAAAACTTACTCAAACAGGTTTTGTAGTCGCTTATCAAACAAAATTTGAGGAACTCTCTAATCAAGTTTCTGGCATTCTAGGTACGTTCCTTCTAAGTTGCTTTGTATCAAGGCTTAAACCAAAAATCCGAAGGGAGGTGCAGTCTTTTCGGCCTCACACCCTCAACCATGCCATGAGTCTTACCCGCTTACAGGAGGATAAGCTGCAGGATCTACACCTATACTTGCATTCTGTCGACCTTGTATCTTGCGATCCTAGTAAATCAACTCCTAATGTTCCTTCAGTGCAGCAGGCCCTTTTGCCTACTCCAAACAAATCGGATTCCTTCCCTGTTAAAGGACTCACAGTAACACAAATGCAAGAACGATGCAACAAAGGTTTGTGCTATAATTGTGATGAGCACTTTCACCCTGGGCATCGCTGCACGGCCAAGTTCTTTCTCTTGCGGATGGAGGAGGATGATGATGAGCACGAGGATGAACCGGGATAACTGCTGTTGATGGTGTCATACCTTGCAACCTTGAGGACAAGGTTGAGGCGAAGGGGAAGGCAATGTTAGGATTATTTTAGAATTAGGATAAGTGTGTTAAGTCTTTTATTATTATCTTTTATAATTATATTATTATCTTATTAGGATAGAATTAGGATTATCTTATTATCTCTTTATAATTAGAGTCCTTTTGGGACTTATTATCCCTTTATAATTAGAGTCCTTGTGGGAGTCAGTAGAGTCAAGTGTAAGGCTATATAATAGCCTAAATCTAGATTGTGGGAATGAATAAAGAATTTTGGTCAACTAATATTTCTATCTCCTGTTCTTGGAGGTCTCTGTTCCTCATATAAACAGATCTTATCCCAAACCCTATCATCTTTTTTTGTGAATTACACGATATCTCTTCATCCTTTCTAATCCATAATTTATGACACGCTAATACCTGATGATTTTTTATCATATTTATTATGGGAAAGAGTAAGAGAGAAGGATAAAAAGACAAAAATTTACGGATGATGAATGGTCACTACACAACACAGCCATTGTTCTATTTCTTATGAAACTACCTAATGTACTGTCATTTCATGTTTCACCTCCACACTTACACATTGTTGAATTATTCAAACCCCTTCACTCACCCTCTCTCTTTTTCTTTCCTAAACCAACAAAACATTCAGTGCTTCTTCCTCAATTCATGACTTGCTTTGCCTCGTCTCCAAACTGTGAATATGTCATTGTGTTCATCATCAATGTTTTAAAACCTGGCTCGGCCCGACCGGTTTAACCAGTTCAACCGGGACCCGGAAGCTTCAACGGGCCGGGTTTATATCTTTCATATTCACCTAAAACCCTAGGATTTGGGAGAATGATCGGCGAACAATTGACGACCGGGATGTTAGGGTTTTTGAAGAGAAAGTGCCGATGAATGCAATGGTGGTGACAACGTTGATTTCTGGTGAGTAAATCGACTGGAAATCGAACAAAACTGGTAGCAGCAACAACCAGATTTTGCCGGTGATTGGAGAGGCTAACAGGGGTGGGGTGGGGTGAGGTGGGTTTTGGTCGGGAGGAAGAGAGGAGTAATTTATGGGTGATGGGGAGGGTTGTCAACGCCGGCGTCGATGAGATCTGGCCTGGAATGCCGATGCCAACATCGATGAGATTTGGCCGAAATCGAACCCATTTCGGCCAAATCTTGGGTATATTTTAAGGGGAATGGGCTCAAGAGACGATTGGGGTTGCATCTAGGGTGTCGTCGCCGCCAACCAGTCGCCGACTGATTTGTATTTGGGGTGTGTTTGCTAAATTTCAAACCTATAGGGACTTAATAGATTTTTAGGGGTGTATTTGCTGAATTTTAGAAGTTTTTGTCAACCGTTCTGACCACCGATCAAACCGGTCAACCCAGGACCCGGCAATTTTTCCGGGTTTCACCTCCGGTTGGGTTTTAAAACATTGTTCATCATTTCTGAATTTTATTCTTGTAATAGGCCACGTCAGAAGACCATGATACCACTCTTTCGCCTATCAATTAATGACCTTAGTTATTAACTTATTAATTATTATACAGTTTGTTACGCTAATTTTTTTTCTTGTTTTGGTTAATTTTGTGCTCCCGGGACTCGCAAAGTTTTTGTTGACTCTCTAGAATTGATGTTAGTTGATGTTGCAGTGGGTCTATTTAGTGATCCACTGCAACATCAACTATCTTATGTCAAGGATTGGCTTCACAACTCCAACAACTAAGCATGAAAGCCGGGAATTCTTTGCCTGAGATTCAAGGCCCTTCACATTTCTTCAAGGTCATACTTCCCTCAACACTTGAAGCTAAGATGCTGGTAATTCCTCACGCAAGTTTTATCTATTTTTTTAAGCAAACAAATCTGATTCTGGTGTTTTTTTTTTATTTGTTTTCTACTTTGTTACATACCCATTTCATTCTCTGTAATTTTTTGGCTAAACATTTTACACTTCTGTCATTCACTTGTACATGTAGGTTTTGTAATGTGCATATGCCAGCATGAACTTTTGAAGAATTCTCATGAATCTCAAGATGATTTTACATGCCTTTGCTTCATAGCTTATCTTTTTAATTCCATGTATTTTCAGTCTCGTCTCGTTGTCCGAATCATTTATATTTTGCCTCTTGGAAGTCTGCATTCAAGTTAAATGTTATACCAGTGGGGGCCTTGTTTGTTGAGTTTGTACCAGGACATGTCTTCTTGTTCATGGAACATTGATCTGTATTGACAACTATCTATGATTGCTATGTTGCGGAAGCATTTGTTTAATTGAATTCATTTCCTTTCTTTTAAATTGCCCTTAAGAGGAGTGCCTTTCCTTTTCTGTACATATTTCATTTTGGCCTTGATATTCCCATGGGATTATGTCGTTCCACTTTGCCTTGGAAATCTTAAATAGTATCCACCATAATTTGGAAGTGGTTTGCAATTTTGTCAGTCTTCTGAAATCTGTTTCTTTAAATTCTAGAATAGTTTTGCTGGTTGGAAGATATAGGTTCTTTGTTTTCTTAACATTGATCAATTCGAGATAAAAATTTAGGACTGACATGTGTAAAAGCATTTGTTTGACAGATGATTATCCATTTTTTAAAAATAGTTCTTGTAACTTAGTTTGCATAATTGCATAAAATCCCACAAAAGTTTGTGACAAAGTTTGGGGATGAGCTTTCTAGTGTTGCTACGATAACAGTTCCTAATGGTAGAGTTTGGAAATTTGGAGTCGTAAAAGATAGGGGAAAGATTTGGTTCAGTAATGGTTGGTCTGAGTGTGTAGAGTATTACTCCATCAGTCCAGGACACCTTTTGGTTTTCCGATTCAAATCAAAATCAAATTTTCATGTTGTTATATTTGACATGAGTGCTTTTGAGATCGAGTATCCGATTAGTGATGGTGAAGAGCCAGAAAGTGGCAAGCGGAACTTTGGACATCAGAACAACATAGAAAGTGATGAAGAACAGTCTGTGGAGATATTGGGTTCTACAACTCCAAATTCATCTTAGGACTTTGGGAAACAATTTTAAAGATAAAAGTACAAGGGCAGGGCCATCTCAAAATGTTTACTCTCCAACGCATAAAAATGAATCAAGAAGAGCTACACGACAAGCTGGGAAACAGGCAGTGGATAAAGGAAACAATAATGCTACGGACACCGATGCTTTGCATCGAATTTTTACACCGAACAACGTATCCACTGAATCAGATGAGCCACGTATCATGTTAACAAATATTTCGCGAATGAACAGTCTTCCATCGTCCATTGTTATTAGATGGCCGTTCATTTGAAATGGACTTCCGTCCATATTATATGGACGGCCGTCCACCTAGAATGGACGCCTGTTCATAGTTTAAACTGAAAAAAATTGGTCTAAATTATTTATGGATGCCCGTCCCCATAAGAGGACGGGTGTCCATCTTTTAATGTTAACAAATTTTAAATTTATTTAATGCTCGCATCCATCTTTTCATCCTCTTCCTCTTGCTCGCGTCCTTTCTTCTCTTTGTAGTACTTTTCACATTCTTTCGCACATTGCTCCTTCTGTTCCTCGTCATACTGCCTCTGGACTTTGCACTGGTGCTTGCATTGTTTCAGCTCTGGGTCTATCTTAGCCAGAGCTAAATCAGCACATAGAACCAAAACAGAGAATTAGATAGAGATTATTTATAGGTGGTTTTGTTTATTAAATTATCTGGTCTGCATCTATAGGATAGGATGCTTATAACTGGAAGGTGCCTAATTCAAGATTGTGTCTTGTTAGAAGTATCTTACGTTCACCAACCCATTCCAACAGATAAGAGAGGTCAAGATTATGAATCAATGATTTCAAGCTGTCCGCATTATTTGGGCAGATTGCTTGAAAATACTTCAATATTTCTACTTTATCTTTTTAATAAACAAAACCACCATGTCCAACCAGATATCATGCAGTTTTGTAAATATTATAGCTGAATTGTTGACGTCTCTTACCGGTTGGAATGTGTTGGTGAACGTAAGATACTTCTGACAAGACACGGTCTTGAATTAGGCACCTTCCAGTTATAAGCATCCTATCCTGTAGATGCAGACCAGATAATTTAATAAACAAAACCACCTCTAAATAATCTCTATCTAATTCTCTGTTTTGGTTCTGTGTGCTAGTTTAGCTCTGGCTAAGACAGACCTAGAGCTGAAACAATACAAGCACCAGTGCAAAGTCCAGAGGCAGTATGACGAGGAACAAAACGAGCAGTGTGCCAAAGAATGTGAAAAGTACTACAAAGAGAAGAAAGGACGCTAGCAAGAGGAAGAGGAAGAGGAAGGTCGTCCTCATAAGAGGATGGGCGTCATAAACAATTTAGGCCAATTTTTTTTTAGTTTAAACTATGAACGGGCGTCCAATAACAATGGACGGTCATCCATATTTGATGGATGGCCGTTCATTCGCGAAATATTTGTTAACTTGATACATGACTCGTCTGATTCAGTGGACACGTCGTTCAGTGTAAAAATTCGGTGCAAAGCGTCGGTGTCCATAGCATTATTGTAAAGGAAATCAACTTGGTAAGCTCTTTACACTTATTATCTTCTTGTTCTAATTTAGTGTTAACAACATTAACCTTTCCCATTTTGCAGATCATCAAGAGTTCTACGGTTTCCTTGAAAAATTGGGGATTTCTATCAGTGAAGCATGTAGAGATTTTACCGTGGAACAAAGACAGAGAGCACTCCTTGCAGCCAGATTGTTCAAGCCAAGCAATCATTCATTCTTGGTTGTTTTGAGTGCCTCTTACTTAAGAAATAAATATGTGGTGAGCTTTGAATAAAATGCAAGTGATCATCATGAATTTTCATTGATAGCATTTGATATATAATGATTTTGCTTTGTGCAATATATACCAACGAAATTTTCTGTCAAGTGTTTGAGTAGAGAAGTGAAAAAGATCAAAATACAAGATTGTGACGGAAAAGAGTGGACGGTGAGTATCAAATGGCTACGGTGTGCGAGACTGATAAGAGGAGGTTGGCATAAATTTCAATGAGAAGAATTTGTTGGAAGGAGACATTTGTGTCTTTGAGCTGATGAGAAAGAGAAAGGGAAACGATGATTTTATTCTAAAAGTTTTAGTACATAAAATTAATCCATTATAAAAGTTATTAGCATGCATCCTTGATGTTTGACTTATTATTTGTTATTGACATAAATTCCTTACGGTGTGTTTGGTTCAAGGAATATTAGATTATTGGGAATGTTAGATTACTGGAATCTTATATTCTCTTGAAGATTACTGAGAATCTTTAGAAAAATGTGTTTGGTTAGTTGATGGGTATATTATATTAATATGTTTAGTTAGGGGGAATAAATTACTGGGCATGTTATTTAAATTATTAAATTGCCATCTTTTTAAATATTAATATAATAGTATTTTTATTATTAATTTTTGAATAGTTTTTTAACCCCCAATATTTCAGATTTAACTAAAACACCCCCACTTATATAAAGCTCTAATTTATGACAAAATCACCCCCTGTCGCCATCGCAAACCACCGTCGGAAGTCGCCGAAAGTCGTAGTGAGTAGCTCACCGTGACCGCGAGGCTCCGATATGGCCGTTTTTGGCCATATTGATCAGGTCCATGGCCATTAACGGCCAGATCTCGCCCAGATCTGGCCTCTAATGGCCAGGGATCTGGTTAGAAATGGCCAGAATAGATCTGGCTATTTCGGCCAGATCTGGCCTGATATGGTCGTTTTTGGCCATATTGATGGCCATAAACGACCATATTGAAGCCTCTCGAAGCCTCCCAATGACTCTTGGTCATTTTTAGGGACTCCGACGACTTTTCGGCGGCGGTCTGTGGTGGCTGGCCCATTGTCGATGGTGGTGGTTGGGTGGCGGTGGTGGTCTGTAATTTGTTTTAAATATAAGGGAATTATTGTCTGAAAACTTAATTGAACAAGGGTAAAATTGAAATAATATATTAATGTAAATTGATTTTAAAACAGAGGCATTATTGTCCAAATTTTTTTTTAATAAGAGATAAAATTATAACAAAAATAAGATTATCTTGATAATCTTATAATATCTAAGAAAATAGAGGTAATCAGATTACCTCCAATATTACCAATAATAATAATTATTAGTAATATAAGATTACTAAAATCTTATATTATTAGACAACTAAATATGATAATAAAATAATATAAGATGACATAACATAATAATCTTATATTACCTCCTATCAAACCCCTCTCCCTGAGAGAGTTTCCTATAAACATTTCATTCCAAATTTCATATGTATTTTAGATAGTTTCATGAATGCGTTGTCAGCCTACATGTTGGGGACAATGATGTTTCATGCATGCGTTGTCGGCCTATTGTTGGAATTGGATTAATATGTGGATTCTATTATACGTACATATATTTGTGTTTATGGATCGTAAATTATAGAGTGCTTTTGAATCTTTACTAGCTGGCATGGTTAGTTTTGTATGTTTGTTTAAAATATCACTAAACGAAACAGAATCTAGTCATCATCAAGATAAGGTCCAGCTAAAAATTGTACCGGTGAAACTAATTTTTTAAAAATAATATTATAATTATAAAAAATAATATACTAAATTTATACAACAAATAATATGATAAAATTATGATGATATCATTCGGTACAACCGTGTATTATTTTTCATTTTTAAACTCTTCTTTGAAAGTCACCAACCATTGCAGGACTTTGAACAGACGGATGTCACATCTGTATTGCGCCCATTAATATGTTTATCACTTTCATTTATAGTTTGTGTAACACGCTTCTCTCTCTTATGAGCTGTCCTTATTGTTTTATCTGTTGTTTACAATTTCCTTATCTAATCCATAATTTAAGGTATAGGTCAAGATTTTTACTTTCTAGAGGTCTACCTTTGATTGTAATTGCTAGATTGTCATCACTAGAGAAAACAATTCCTTGGATTGCTTAAATTTTCGCTAGTTTTCTAATTGATCCTCTAGCTTCATTTGCGTTACCGCGCAGATGATTCCAGAAAAGTTTGCCAGGAAATTTTGGAGTGAACCTTCTGGTGTTGCTAAACTGAGAGTTCCCAGTGGTCTTGTTAGCCAAGTGGGATTGACAAAATATACAAGAAAATTGGGTTCAAGGATGGTTGGCACGACTTTGCAGAAAGTCATTCAATCAAAATTGGGTATTTGTGGTCTTTAAATATGTGAAAAATTTTCATATTCGTAGATATTTCATTGTTGTATTGGATCTAAATAGTCAAGACAGAAGATGTAACAATCTAGTCCATTGTAAAAATATTGTCCATCTTGTATCTTGCACGAGTTTGCATTTGGGTTTCATGCAAACGCCTTTCACCAAAAATGCATCTTAACTGCTTGGGAGCTAACATGATATTAACAAATCTTCTCTTAACATTCCAAAAATGAGCAATGTTAGTTTTACAAAGATACATACAAAGGGGATATATAAAAACAATTCTCATATTTGATTTTCATGATTTTTCTCTTCCTTTTTCCGTTTTTTTTTCTTGCTGATGTCACTTTGTAACCCTCTTTGTATGGACCTTTATAAGGATAACAATTTTTCTAAAAGTAAACATTCATATGTAAATAAGTAGGTCTACTAAGTTCCAACTCTATTAAGGAAACAGTCGAACTCTGAGCACAATAGCAGCCTGGCATTCTCAAGATTAAAGAGACTGCAAAGTTTAAAGAGAAGTAATACCAATATTTATTGTGACAACACAACTCAACACACCCACCTCGTCCTGAATCGCATTTGGACATTTCACTCTCTTCACGATAAGGATTCAATTTCACATGTCATTATTGCAGCAATAGTGCTCACAACAACAAAAGCCATAGCAGCTAAAAGCCTAAAACAATTTATCTTTCATTTGTTTTTGTTTTGTTTTATTGGTGCATGTGCTTTTACTCAGGCTAAAGCTGGTCACATAACAATTAATACAAAGCCTTGAGATGGCTTTTGGCCTATTATTATTATTATTTTT